GGTGGAGGAGTGGAAGAGGTGTTGCCTTTACTCCCAGCAGTCAGGTGATGTGGGATTCCCCTCTGTATGTTATGGATATGTTTTATTACCATTGGTTAATAAAGAAGCTGCTTTGACCTACGTCAGGGCAGAATATGTAGGTGGGAAAACTAAACCATGCAGGGAGAAAGAAGGCAGAGTCAGGCAGCAGCTGTGTAGTTATCCAAGAAGAAAGAGATAACAAACCATGAGCCTCGTTGTAAAACACAAAATAATAGAAATGGGTTAATTTAAGGTGTAAGAGTTAATAAGAAGCCTGGGCTAATAGGGCAAAGATCATGTAATTAATATTAAGCCTCAAAATGGTTATTTCATAAGTGGCTTGGGAACAGGCAGGTGCAGAGAAGCCGGTCCAGGGGGACCAGCGGGACAGAGAAAACTTCCAGCCACATGCAGGAGGCAGGGGCAGGCAGACTTCCAGGTTCAAAGCCTGCCTGGGCTACATAGTCAACTCCAGGACCATCAGAATTACACAGAGCAACCCTGTCTCAGAAAAAAAGAACAAAACAAAACAAACAAACAAACAAACAAAAATCAGGTGACAGCTCCGGAATTACAACAGCTGAGGTTGACCTGGCCATGACATATGTGTGTGCACATACATGTATCCTTACATAGGCACACACACATACATACACATGATCTTTCCAGATGATGACAGATACCTAATAAAAGTAATATGTTTTTGATGCAGAACAATAAACAGTATGGCTGGATGGGGAGGCAAGCTGTTTACGCCAGAGTTCATGCTACCCTTTTGGATATTCGAGGGACAGCTTGGGAGTGTGTGAGTCAGACTGCCTGTGATCACAGGAAGGCACTGTGCAGTGACCCCGCATTGCAGCAGCCCCCACACAGACGACACAGAGATGAAAGGGGGGACACACCGTACGCCAGGCATTTGTCCATGTTAGGGAGTGAGGTCTACTTCTCACCACTTATCAAGAGCAGCTGTTGCTGCGACAACAGTTGTTTCTAACCACTCTGAAGAAGGTTCTCTCTCTGCTACGGGGTTGCACCAAGAGGCCCTGTTCACCCCGCCCCTCTGTCTTCTGAAGTTAGATTCTGCTTTCAGAATTCAACTTCAGTCTGCTCAAAGCCAGTATGGTTGGGTCCTGTCTTAGTTAGTGCTTCTATTGCTGTGATGAAACACCATGCCTGAAAAAGCAAAAAGAAGAAAAGAAAGAAAGAAAGAGAAAAAGAAAGAAAGAAAGAAAAGCTTACATTTTCACATCACAGTTCAGTTCATCGCCAAAGGAAGTCCGGACAGGAGGAACTCAGGCTGGGCAGGAACCTGGAGGCAGGAGCTAATGCAGTGGCTAGGGAGGGGTTCTCCCTACAGTCTTGCTCCTCATGGTTTGCTCAGCCTGCTTTCTGATAGAACCCAGGACCTCCAGCCAAGGGATGGCCCCACCCACAATGGGCTGGGCCCCCGCCCCATCAATCACTAATTAAGACAATGCCTTACAGCCTGATTTATGGGTGTATGTTGGCCTCTGGCTTACAGTTTTGGGATATATTATTTACTTAAAGGAATAGTAATAATATTTTAGGAGCAACATGACAGTAATTAGTACTCAGAAAAAGAGAACATGGAGTTTTTTTTTTTTTTTTAATGTGTATAGGTGTCTTATCTGCATACATGCATTTTCTATTCCTGCTGGAACAGATTCCCCCCGAACATCACTTACAACACCAGAAATCAATTTTAAAGTTTTGGAGTCAAGGCCGTTTTGAGCTGGAGACATCTGCAGGGCTGTGTTGCTTCTGGAGAATTTAGGGGTGAACCTTCCCCTTGCTTCTTACTTCTAGACCAGATCACAACTCCTGGCTCCTGAGTTCTTCTTTTGAAGCAGCCCTCATCTTCCCCCAACCTTGGGTTTCTTCATCTTGTTTCCTTCTCGGGGCTCCCCGTGCCCCTCTTTCACTCAGGAGGACTCCTGTGATCGCACTGGCCGGGACTTGGCCCACCTTGAACTCTTTAACCCCACCTGCAATCGTTTTAGACCTATACAATGACATCACAGGCCTGGGAGTGAGGACACTGGCTTCCAGTAGAGAGGAGCAAAGGCAGTGCTGGGGAATTAGCAGCAGTTTATAGTTCCAGTTTCTAGGATTCTTTGCTTAAGACAACTTCCAGATGTTTTAAAATAACATTTAGGAAAAAGTTGAACGTTTAAAAAGGTTTATTTATTTATTATGTGTACATACATAATAAATGTGTGCCTACACGCCAGAAGCGGGCATCAAATCTCATTATAGATGGTTGGGAGCCACCATGTGGTTGCTGGGAATTGAACTCAGGCCCTCTGGGTGAACAGCCAGTGGTCTTAACCTCTGAGTCATCTCTTCAGCCCATAACTTGGATTTTTAATATAGCTGGGAAATGGTCCCCTGATGTCTGTTGACACACAGAGCTTTCTCCAGTCAGAACACAGCTTTCTGAATTTCATTTCCATTTAGTTGTAGCTTTTTTTTAAGAAAATGTATTTGGGTGTTTTGCCTTCAAGTATGTCTGTGTACTGCTTGTGTGCCTGGTGCCCACAGAGGCCAGAAGAGGACATCAGATCCCCCTGGGACTGGAGGCAGATGGTTGTGAGCCACTATGTGGGTGCTTGGAATAAACTCAGGTCCTTTGTAAGAGCAGCCAATCTAATCTAGCCAAGTCACACACATTTCTAGGTTATAGTTTTAAATGTACCTCCAAAATCAGCCCTTTAAAATACAAAAGCCCGAAGACTCTGAATGCTTACAATGTGTCCAGAAGACTGTCTGATTGCAGTCAGCTAGAGAGATGGAGGAGCCAGGAGAAACATCAGTAGAGCAACGGCTTCTGAAGCGGAGGCAGGGGGCTGATCACAACTGCTGGTAGCTAACGGACCTCCGTTTCAGGTTCTTCAAACAGGAGCTTGACAATTGTACAAAGACATTACTACGTATCATATTATAAAGTGGCATAAATGTACACGTGCCGCTAGAAAGTGACCCCCCCTCCCCCGGCAGAATGGCTCATTTCCTCTAGTCCCAGCACTCCGAAAGCAAAGTAGGAAGAGGGAGTTACGGGCAGCTTTGTGAGTTTGAGGCCAGCCTGGGCTACATGAGGCCCCATTAAAAGAAGGGGGGGGGGAGGGGAAAGGGATGTTGCTGGAGAGACATCTCAGTGGTTGCCAGCTTTGCTGCTCTTCCAGAGGACCCACATGGCTACTCACAACCATCTGCAACTCCATTTCCAGACGATCCAACGCCACCTTCTGGCCTCCGAGGACACTGCACGGAAGTGGCACACAGATGCCGGGCAGGCAGGCATCCATATACATAAAAAATAAATGTTAAAAACAAAAGAAGCAGTGTGTCTTTGTACTATACAAAGTCACCCCCAAGCCCAGCCCAGTCCCCGTATTTGGCCAGAAGAACGGGCTTTGTTTTCTAACCGCTTGTCTCAGTCAGCCAGGGCGACTTGCTCCCTGGGGACCGTCAGTGATGATGTCTTTGGATATTTTGGTTGTTACGCCTGACCCTAGTGGCACTGCACGGGGTCGGTAGATACCAGAGTTGCTGCTAAGCCTCCCACAGCGAACAAGACGGCTTGTGGCAACATCAAGTCCTAAATGTCAGCACTGTGAAGCTGAAAAAAAAAAAGTGGGTTAGTAAGACGTGATTTGATTTTTGGCAGACTTTGCTTTTGCTTTGATATTTGATAAGAGGGGCAGCGTTTAGGTTATTATTTAAGTACAGGCGCTAGAGGGCACTGCCTGCTCAAAAGTTGCAGTTTCGGTGGCGGTGGGGGTCTTTGCCGAAAGTAAAGCGACCTAACGACCAGGAGAAGGCTAAAGAACTGTTGGAATAGTTGTTTACCCAAAGCCGTCTTACTGCACCTGAAGCCGGGAAGGGCAGAGAGCGCAGGCTTCGTGCTTTTCTTTCTATAATGATGTCTTTGGAGCTTTTACCAGTCGAAAGGGGGAGATCTCGCTGGATTTCGCGCACGAACACCCACGTCATTGGCACCTCCTCTGAGCAGGTGATGAGAGGCGCGATTCCAGGCTCTGCGGATCACTGCAGCGCTGTGAAGTCGCATCTGAAGCAGGGAGTCAAACGGGCAGGCGGGGCAAGGCTGATGAATGGTAACCGGCTTGTTGCTTGTCGCTCTTTCAGGGGATCCAAGTTCTGTTTCCAGCACGTACATGCTGGCTCACAACCGCCTGGAACTGCAGTTCCAGGGCATCCCATGAGGTCGTCTGCCCTCGGAGGGACAAGTACACACGTGGTGCACAGACACACACGCAGGCAAAACACTCAAACACATTAAAAAAAATAAGAAAATCAATGTAAAAAAGAACCAGTTTGTTGCTTGAAGCCCTTCAATGTGCAAGGTGCTACAGCCGTTCCCTCCCAAGGTTCCGCCCAACTTTAAAAAAATGAGATAATTGCTTTTCTTTTTTAGAATCAGGTCCATAACTGAATTTGTGTGTTTGGGTTTTTAAGATAAAAATTAGTCTCTTGGGTTGGCAGGATGCTTCATTCAGCATTGCTGCCAAGCCTGGCCACCTGATTCATTCCCTGGGATTCCACGGTGGAAGGTGAGGACTGAGTGTCCCTGTCTTTCTTTAAAGACCACTTTTTAAACCGGGTATGGCAGTGCATGTCTGTAGCCAACATTGTGAGGAAGAGGCAGAACTGAGACCTCAGGGGCCGCCTCTCTGTCCCCCGAGCGCTGGACTAGCCAGGGCCGCCTCTCTGTCTATCAAGCCCAGGTTAGCCAGGGCCGCCTCTCTGTATGAAGAGCTCCGGGCTAGCCAGGGCTACATGGTAAGATCTTTTTCTCAAAAAGCCAAAGAATAACAGCTAAGAGCGAAGACGCTACCTACATCTTGCGTGCTCCCAGAACATGTCATCTCGAGGACGGAACTGTGTCTACTGTTCATACTGTGCCGTCCCTGGGATGCAATGGAGGCTCAGGATGTAGCAGTTGAATGATCGAGTAGGAAGAGCAATTCTTTAGGGTGGAAGTTTGCAATTCGCCGAGCTATTGGGTAATAGCAAGCGACACTGTGTCTGTGGTTCTAGAGGGGTAGGAGTTTGAGACAGCTTGGGTTGTGTAAGACTGTCTCAAAAACCAAACCAATAGAAAACCCCAAATCAAACAAAAACCAGCGTTGATGTGCTTTTAAAACAGCATCCCTTTATAAACCTATTTTCAACATTCAAGTCCAACTTTTAAAATATGTTATTTGTAGAAAATATTGAGTTTCAGTTCTTCTTAGGCACTCTGCCGTCTTTCCGGGGCTGTTAGTGCTCACCTAGGGCAAAGCTGTTCTTACTCAGCCATTAAATAAAGCATGGAGATTAAAAAAAAAAACCCACAAGTTTTTGGGAAACTGCTTTTAGGGCTATCTGTCAGTCTGGATCATTTTGGTTAATAATGCCAACAGACTTGGTTAGATATGAAAAGACTTAAAAAATTAAGTTGTTGAGGTGAAATTCAGCCCTCCCCTCAAGATTGCTATGTTTAAAATTTGAGAAAGTCGTTGTTAGTTTGGAAAGGGTGGGTGGACCACGGGTGTTTTTATTATTTGGTTATTATTGTTATTATTATTATTATTATTATTATTATTATTATTATTATTATGTTCATTATTTAGTTTTTGGTGTTCTGGGACCCGAGGGATTGGCTTAACTTTGTCTCTCTCCCTCCTAATTAGTGCTGGTTTCTCTGAGAGGCAAGGCTTTCTCTCGCAGCCTTTTAACTTTTTTCTTTCCTCCCCGGTTGAAAGGGGCCCCTGGCCGCCGCCACCGCCTCGTCTGTCACTGCGTGCACCCAAGCGCCAAAGGGAAATGCGAAGCGAGACAGCTGTACGCGAGGCTTTGCCTTTTAAAGAAGTTGACAGACAAATGGCACAGGGGTCCCTGCTCTTGCCAGCTGAGGGCTTAGCTTCCAGAAAGCGCCCCTCTAGGGGAACAAGCGAGGCTGTGTGGAGCGGCTGAAAGGCCTCATTGAGGCCGCAGCCCGAGGCTCTTGTAGCGCATTGTCTGGTATGCGGCGCCCTTCCGAAACCGCTCTCCACAGTCCTGCACCCCCACGCCCCCAAAGCTCAGGAATAAGTCCCCCCCCCCCCCGCCACGTTACACTTGGTGTTTCAAGCGAAATTCTCAAAAGGTATTTGCTTTTGTTTGTTTTTGTTTATCTCGCGCCTCTGGGGGTCAGACATGATACTCACGCTCACTGGGCTCAACACGTGGAAACTCGTGTCCCCGAGGCTGCGCTGGTGGGAACCGAATTCTGGGCAGAGAGGGAAGCGCAGGAGTGGAGGAGGATACCAGGCTTTAAATCATTTCCGCTGCTTCCTTAGCTTTCAGGAAGATTCGTTTCGAGAGATTGAAATTTACACTAAAGAACAGCCTCCCGAAGATTTCCGAAGTTACTAAGCTGCCGTCAGAGAAGCTGCAGCACCATTCAGAGATGGTGAGAGCTCGCTTCCCAGGAAGACAGAGTTACCTGATCAAGGCTGGGGAACCACAGCTCCCATTAGGGTTCAATGTGCCAGACTTTAGGAACCGTGTGGCCTGAGCCTCCGTGCTCTGAGGAGTCCAGAGCCATGGAGCGCATGGCCCGCTATGGTCAGCACTGTCTCCTTATTCCCCACAGAGCGCGCCATGGTCCATATCCCCGCCCCCTTACACTACAGGAAGCTCCAAGTCCTGCAAGGCTGTTTAGGTTACATGGAGTTAGACTCCTGTTGAGGTTGCCTTGCGGCCTTTAGAGGGCAATTCAAGCAAATTTATAATGTGTTATGACCTGGATCAGCAGGTCATTCTCCAGCCACAGGGTCCCGAGAGAGAGGACCAGGAGAAAGGAAGGCGGAGAAGATGAAGTTTGGGATCAGGAGGTCTTTATACAAGCAAGCTATGTCTTACACCGACCATGTTCTTGGAGTTAGAGAAGCAGCCAAGGCCCTCTCCACAACTCAGGGAGGGCCCCAGGGAATGCCCCGGTCTGCCAGCCCCGCCCGCAGCCATCGGTAGCCGCTGCTCACGGTGAGAGCTGAGAGCGGCTGCTGGAAGATCAGAAAGCCTGGCAGGTTTTCAAGAGCATGTGGTCTGGACCTTGCAAGATAACTTGATTCCTGGACTTTATTGTTTGGGGTGATACACAAAAAAACAAAACCCACAAAACACATCCTTTAACTTGTGTATGAAGAAGGCTATAAATACACCCTGGGGCAGAGCATGTGTCTGGCAAGCGTCACTGTCAAGCAGGCTAGGCTGGAGTGAGGGACATTATCACCTGAAAACCACTCTCTGCCTGATTACAGTGAAAGCCACCAGTCTTGGGGACTTAGGATGGAGTCCAAGTGTTCCACCATGATTTCTCATTTTGCGGTGTGTGTGTGTGTGTGTGTGTGTGTGTGTGTGTGTGTGTGTATGTGTGTGTGTGTGTGTGCTGGTATCCATGGAGGCTAGCAGGGGACGTTAAATTACAGTTTGTGAACAGGTCAGTGTGGGTGCTGGGATCTGAACTCTGCTCCTCTGATAAAGCAGAGGGTACTCTACACAGTGAGCCATCTCATCTCCAAGCTTTGAGCTGAGATCCTTAGGCCACTGTGCTGTAACTCAGCTGGTCTTAACGCCTGGTCCCTTCTCACCCCTGTGGCCTTCAGTTTCCTTCTCTTACAGGATTTCTGAGAGCAAAATGGCGCTTAACAATGAGGAAATGTAGCTGGGCGGTGGTGGCGCACGCCTTTAATCCCAGCACTTGGGAGGCAGAGGCAGGCGGATCTCTGTGAGTTCGAGACCAGCCTGGTCTACAAGAGCTAGTTCCAGGACAGGCTCCAAAACCACAGAGAACCCTGTCTCGAAAAACAAAAAACAAAAAACAAAAAAAAAACAATGAGGAAATGTATTCCTTTAAGCAAAAGGAGGCTGTGTTTCAGACGGGCAAACTGGGGAAGGAGGTGTGAGGGGTGGGGGGGGTAAGAGGTGGGAGATGGGGTGTTTATCTGTTGTGTGATATTTTGTTTGTGTTCTGACAAATAAATCTTGCCTAGAGATCAGAGGGCGGGGCAGCAGCCCCTAGACTTCTATGAAATCTCAGATGGAATGGGGCGATCCTGTCTCTATGAATCCTCAGGCTGAATGGGGGGGGGTCCTGTAGCCAGAGGCTTTTCCAGGTCCCTCCCGGTCCCACAGTCACTTATAAAATAATCACTTAGAGCTTAATATTAACCGTAACTGTTTGTTGGATGGCTCAGGCTTATTACTTGCTAGCCCTTACATATAAACTAACCCATTTCAATTAATCTGTGTATCCCCACATGGCCCGTGGCTAACTGGTAACGCTCTGGCATCTTACTCCTCCAGCAGCTGCTGGCATCTCTCTGACTCCCCCTTCTTTCTCCCTGTATTCAATTTGGCTTTTCTACTTACCTGTATTCTGCCCTGCCATAGGCCAAAGCAGCTTTACCCATCAACCAATAAAAGCAAAATATATTCACAGCATACAGAAGGATATCCCACACGTCTCTATGAATCCTCAGACTGAATGGGGCTAGCTCCTGTCTCCACCCGCCTTATATTTCTCTTTTTACCTCCGCTGCTGGGATCAAAGGCTTGAGATCCCAAGTGTTAGAATCAAAGGTGTGCGCCACCCCTGCCTGGTCTCTATGGTTAACTAGTGACTAGCTCCATCCTCTGAGCTCCAGGAAAGCTCTATTTATCAAGACAGAAACAGAATATTATACAACGTTTATCTCTGACCTCCCTCCTTGCTCTCAGGCAGGCTGACTGGTGAAGATGATAATGATGACGATAGTACCCCTCCCCCCACAGCAAGTCCCATGAGAGACAGTGGAGGTGGGGGAGGCTCCAGGGAGCTATAAATCCTCCAAGGCAGGTGGGCTTTAACTCATGGGCTGTGGAGAATATGGGAAATGGATTTAAAAATGGTGACCAACCTCATGGCCCTGTGGAAATGGATTGTGGAAGAGGAGAAAGAGAAACCACAGAATAGGGGGTCAAAGCAGAAGATGGCTATGGTGGTTGAGGAAAGATGGTCGTAGCTTGTACTAGAATCCCTAAATAGTGACCTTGGCAGTTAAGAAGAGGAACTCAAAATCTTCAAACAATTGTCTAAGTCAAGACATGACTTGTGGATGAGTGTGACAGGAAGACCATTTTTTGTTAGCATCAAACCCAAGCTCCTGAGAATAAGAAACCTCTGGAACAAGAACAACAAAAAAAGTTATTGAGCTGTTACAAATGGAGCCAGAAATGGCCATCCTGGGGCAGGTTCCCCCAGCAAGGCTAAGGGGCAGTTGGAAGCCACAGAATTGTCCCATGGAAAGTTTAAGAGAAAGAAATGTACATTGAATATACATACATTGCTTACATCCAATTTTCTTCCTTCTTTTCCAGTTGTCAAGACTGAACTCAGGCCATGGGTATCCTGAGACAGCACAATACCACATGGTGTTGAGCTGTATTCCCAAACCTTTCTGCTTTTTTTAGTCAGAATCTTTTGTTTTTGAGACAGGGTTTCTCTGTGTAACAGCCTGGCTGTCCTGGAGATCACTCTGTAGACCAGGTTGGTTTTGAACTCACAGAGATTTGCCTGCCTCTGTCTCCCTGAGTGCTAGGATTAATGGCATGTACCACCATCGCCCGGTTTATTTTGTTCTTTTTAGTGACTGTCCAGTGGTACACTGTAGGAATGGGACTATTCACTTATTCATGACCGTGTGTATGTACAAGGGATCTGATGGCCCACGGCTTCCTGCACACTAGACAAGCACTCTGCACCGAGCTACATGCTCAGGCCCATGTTAGTGTTTTGGTTTTGAGACATGGACTCATTGTGTTGCCTAGACTGGTCCTGAATCTGCAATCTTCCTGCCTCAGTTCCCCACGTAGTTTGGATTGCAGGCCTATCCTTCCAGGCCTGGCTATCATAGTTCATTTAATTTGGTCTCCAAACTGATGGGCAATGGGGCTGTTTCTAATTTTCAGCATTTGAAAATATTTTATTGAAAATATCTTAAAGAGAGAAAAGACACCAGCTAATGAAGGGAGAAATCAAAGCAGTGAGAAATATTTATACATTATTCAGAGAGCCCTAGAATTTCTACGCTGAGGAGCCTCTCCCCACCTGCTCAAGCTACAGAGGGCACACGGGGGTGTTCATGCTCACCCTTGAGGCCTGTGTAGACCTGAGATGTGATGGAGGAGCTGGGTACTTCTCCCAGGGACAGATTGAAGCTGGCCACGCCGGCCACTCCACCAACTGAAGACCCCTTAGAAGAGGAGGCTGTCTCTCAGACCAGAGCACCACCTACACAATCCTCAGCAGGTTCCTTCCCATCCGTGTTGGGCCCATGTTGGCCTGTTATTGGTGTTCCTGTGGAAACATGTAATATTTAAAAAGCACACACATACCCACAAAATAGTCTTATTGGCTTAAATGGACAGTTGTACTGGGGACAGAGAGAAAACAGTCATTTGTTTAAGGCCGTCTCCTCCTTTTAATGTAAGTCCATTGTGTCTCCTCTGGGCTGATGACAGAGCTGGTTTTGGATGCCGCCATTCAGTGGTTGCGTGATCTTGTGCACCATCTCCAGTGCAGTTCCCAGCTGGCTCAAGTTAATGACCCAATGGATGGGAAAGGACCTGTGTTTTATCTTACTTTTTGGAAAGCCTTGCCAGAATGGAGTTTAGGAAACCAAGTGTTATCGAACCAGACAGTAGATACACACACATCCCAGCCTTTCCCAGAATGCTCCTGTGTCAGCATCTCACTGACCATCCCTAAAAATCTATCCGTTAGGGAATTCTTTTTTTTTTTTTTTTTTTCAAGACAGGGTTTCTCTGTGGCTTTGGAGCCTGTCCTGGAACTAGCTCTTGTAGACCAGGCTGGCCTCAAACTCACAGAGATCCACCTGTCTCTGCCTCCCAAGTGCTGGGATTAAAGGCGTGCGCCACCACCGCCCAGCCCTGCCTTTAGGGAATTCTTACCATTATTTCTTTAAAAAAAAATGGTGTGTGTGTGTGTATGTGTGTGTGTGAGTGTGTCTTCATACACTTTCATACATTCGGAGGCCAGAAGTCAACCTCGTCATACCAAAATGGCGCTGTTTTTCAGTGATTGCCCACCTTGCCACATGAGACAGGGAGTTTCACTGGCCTTCCATCAGAGTAGGCTAGCTTAGGCCGGTCAGTGAGCCCTGGGGAGCCACCTGTTTCTGCCTCCCCTGTATGGCAAGCATTTAACAACCGAACTGTCTCCTTTGCTCGGGATTTCTGTGTATGTGACAGCTCTTCATGGTTGGCAAAGTCCTTTCTATCTGGACCTCCTGGCAAACCTTCTGGAAGGCCGGCTTCATTCTCATGTAACATGGCATACCTGAGGCACAGAGAGATGACGATGAGGAGCCAAGCTCGGGGAAAGTAAACATGTCTAACAAGTAGCAGAGACCTTAGACCACTTCCAGACCCTAGATGCCCCCAGTGGTGGGCTCATGTTTTCAATAGCTGGAAATACAGTTATAGACTGAGAACACCTTGAGTCCCCAGAACCCCCACTTTTTATCTCTGCTCACGGTGAGCCTGTGTCACTGTCCAGCACACGCAATGCACAGTCAGTCCTAGAGAAGACCAGATTTCAAAAGCTGGTTTGCTACACGCATACTGCTTTTGCCCCTTTATAAAACTGAAAAAGCATGAAGCCTGGCAGCCGTGCCTCAAGACCGCTGCACTTCCAGGCCATCAAGGTGAGACAGCCTCCCCGCTCCTGGCCTGCTCAGGTGTGGGATTCCCAATCTGGTCCCCAGTCATCCTTTAAGATGCATGCCAAACTCACATGAGCCCACGTCTCGGCACTTGGAGGACGAGGTGAGCGGGTCACTTTAGTTCAGGAGCTGGAGACCAGCGTTGGGGTGACAGGGCAGTTGGTATACAGCATTTACAAGACGGTAGTTGCGTGAGGCAGGAAAAGCTAGTATGAGTAATTCCATTTTTTTTTTTTTTTGGAAGAGGAAATAGATTTAGGAATTGAGAATTACCCAGTGTCAAACAAGCACTCAGAAGGAGAGCCCAGAGGGAACACAGCTGTCCAGACAGTGGCTTCCGCTTCTGCTAATATGCATCATTATTTTATAGTGCTGTGTGATTCTTTTTCTTTTTTTTTAAGTCAAACTGGCTAAGCTCTGTATTCACTTAGGCGCTCACTGCTCTCCTGCTCGTCGGGGAAAAGGATAATGAACAACGCTAACACGCAAAGGCAGGCATACCTTTCCATTTGGAGACACTCTTTGCCTGTCTGTGTATGTGGTCCTGGAG